TGGACAACCAGAGGAGTTTTTGCACACACCCAGTCTGCTCGTCTTTCAGTATTCACAACACTTTGAACACAGCGTATATCCAGAAATAAAAAGAAAGGTTTTTAGTTTGGTTCTTTTTTTAACTGCAAAATGAACTCTTCTGCCTCAAATTGTTTTAATATTGTCTATGAGAGATAAAAGGAGATTTCCTGGCAAAAATTCAAACTTTTCATCTGTGTGTATGTATCAGAGTGTGTGGCTACTACTACGAAGTCTAATAAAAGTTAATCCCCCCTTGAAAACTAAAAAGAAAACTTAAAAAAGAAGGGAAATAAAGAATATTGTAGAAATAAGGAAAAACTAATCTTATGATAATGAGAACACAGACATGCTGACAGAGTAAGAAGTAAATGAGGAAAGACATTAAAGAAGACAGGAAAAGGGAGACGAGGTATTAGTGAGAAGAACTGCAGACCTACACCACTCAACATCTGCTGGGAAAATTAGCTTTCCTTCTGGGACTCAGCCTGCACCTTCATCACCTTCATCTTCTATCTCTTTATGATTTTGGGGGTTTTCTGCTGTGTGTTTGTGTCAAGTTTTATTAAGTAAAATGTGTACAGACTTTATGAGCCATGAAACTATATGGTCTCCAAAACCAAATAAAAACATTAAACAATTCACTACAAAGAACTTACAGAAGCTCATGTCATTAAACTGCAGCTGTAAACACTATCCCAGCTATTTGTAATATAAAAAAGTAAAAACAAATATTAGCTTTTAAAATTTACTTGCACAACGACTTCAAGAAAATGCATTTAATGTCTGTTTCAATGACTGCTCTCAGATCAATAAATCCTGAAATGTAAGCGTAGTATTTTAGGTTTGTGTGTAGTCAGCTCAATACAAGAATAGGATACCTGAGTGACATCTAAACATGAAAAAAACTGTTTCTTTACACAAACTTCCCATTTTCAGTGGATTTTACTTAAAAAAACATTTCAGGCTTTCAGAGGTGGGGACTCGAGTCACATGACTTGGACTTGAGTCTTACTTGAGCCATTAAAATTATGCCTATAGACATGACTAGGACATTTACACCAATGACTTGGGACCAGGGCTTAAAGTAAAAAAAAATCCTGAGCCTGAAAATTTATTGGTGGTGATCAGGGGTGAAGCACCAAATTCTGGGCCCTGTACACTCTCGATGTCAGTGGGCCTCTATCCATGCCAGTGCACGAGGTGCATAAATAAGTTAAGTTAGTTTGTGTACTAATGTTGTGATCCATGACACTCCAGCAATTTTTGATTTAGAAACATTTAATCTTGAACTTTAGATAAACATTTTGTGCATGACGTGGGCTCAGTTCAACTGTCTGCGCACGTCAAACTAAACACCAAACGTTTATCTTTTTGTGATGCAATAATCATCAAACCATTTTAACTGAGATTATGTTCACCTTCATTAAACCAGGTTCTGTATCAGCCATTTAAACTCACTAAGAATACAGTTTAATAATCAGCCACAGTTTCATACAGAGACACATAGGTGGAGCTCTACAGGTGTGTTTCTTCCTCTCTAACAGGAGCATCAGAAAACTTGTAGTGTGTGTAAAGGACACACTGAAGGGGGGTCTGGGGGTCCTCCCCCAGAAAAATTTGAATATAATAGAGGCTATTTTCTGATTTCTAGTGTATTATAACAGGTTGTTAAATATACGTTTACTTACACAAATAAAGACTTAGTGACAACTAGAGACAGATTCTTCATTAAACTAGTTGATTCGTCCTATTTTTAAACTCACTTATGGCTCAGATAATTAAATTAATGTGATAATTTATTCCAAATAAGCTTAGGAGGTTTTTACATTTATTTTGTTTATTATTAATTTAATCTTATTTATAACACAACATATTGTGCCAAACAATGCTGACACACAACTGCATGTTTCAACCTAAAAACATTAAGAACTTTACCCAATGAACAGGTGTAATTATGATAAACAACAAGCAGTGAATTTTGGTGTTTGACTTTTTTCTGTTTTGATGACAGGTCCACTCATAAACTGACATGACATCATGCAGCTTTCTTCATAATATAAAATAACTCTGTGTCAAAGAATGGTGACGTAAAAATAACTTGTGTCAGTTTCATCAACCTGCATGTAAAATTTGGAACAATTGATACATGACCACCTAAGGGTCAAAAAGGCTCAAATTTTCCGCCTGTTATTTTTGGCTTATTTTACCTGTAAAAAAGGACAATAATTAAACTGCGAGTAAATAATTTTTCACCTTTTTCGATAACAACTAAAATGTTCATTATCTGGCAGTTATTTAAAATTTATTGCATATTAAAATAGTGTATTATCAGTTTTAAATGAATAAAAACCAAAAACGAAATTAGTTTTTTGAGGTTTAAATCACAACAAATGTACCTAACGAAATGATTTGACATCAAATATATGAAATTTAGACAGTATATAAACTACYTGCAGTGAAACTTTTTGATTTTTTTTGTAAATAAATGAAAAAACAGTCCAAAAATGAAAACCATATACATGGCGTTTTCTCTCCTTCCCCCCCAATCTCTGTGTTTGTGATACTGCCAGAAGCAGTTCCTATGAAGCTGCAGACACAGTCCTTCATCACATTAGGCACAATGGGCCTCATGCAAGAACATGTTCATATTCTTTTCCTAAATTTCTCTTACTTTTGTTCGTACGAAGGGTTCATACGAACATGTCACGTCAGATTCAACAAACTCTTCTACCTTCAGGAAAAGGGTGTAAATGAGCTGCGTAAATTCCACCTGTTCGTATCCAGCTGCTCGTGCATGCGAGAGGAGATTAGCATAATTACCACCCCAAAAACACCATATAAGGCTATGTTTCCTGCCTCAGATATCAGGAAGTGTCCATTCATGAAAATGACAGCGAAAACTAAAAAGAAAAACTTTACGAGTTCAGAGATTGAAGTCCGTCTGTCAGAGATCCAGAAAAGAAAATCTGTCATTTTTAGCAGGTCAGCTGTGGAATAAAAAGAGCTGCTAAATGTATAAACAATAACTGTGTTAAATCATTTTCATTTATTCAGAAGCCGCACCGTTGCTCACCGTACACCCCCCCCCCCCCCCCCCCCCCGCGCTGCGCGGTCGCAGGTGGTCTCAGATGCGGGTCTGAAATAAGCGTTTTAAAATGTTTTCAAAATATGTCTGGCACTTTGGAGAAAATCAAGGACTCACTGGAGGGGTTATGTATCCCCTCTGGCCTGGGAACGTCTCGGAGTCCCCCAGGACGAGCTGGAAGGTGTCGTTGGGGAGAGCGGGGTCTCTCTGCTGCTGGCCCCACACCCGATCCCAGATAAGCGGCGGAAAACGGACAATTTATATTGTTAGTCTAAATTATTACATTTAAAATTATAACTCTAATTCAAACAGAATAGCCTATTGTCAACATAATTATGGAGTGTAATTTATTAGACTTGAACTGGACTTGACCCTGTTTACTTGAAAATGACTTGATAATTTAACCCAAAATCTAAAGTTTAAAACACCTTATTTATAAAGTGGGTCCCATTAATTCATTTCACTCACTCCGTGTTGACATATCAGACAGTCCATGGTTTTTCCACACTCTGTACGTATGTGTGCGTGAGCTGCAGCACAACAAATCAATTTAATATAAAAAAAGGAAAATTATAGTTTAAAGGAAGACTATTTTTGATGCTAAGTTTATTTGAATTGTGCATTATAGAGGTGAAATTTTAAAATGCTTTTTAAATACTTTGTAAGTTTAGGTGACACAAGGGCATTTTGGTTAATTTTATCATTAGTATCATTAGTTTCAGCACAACCAAAATGTTGACTACGCTCCGTTCTCCCGTCTTCAAAACACTCTCTCATGTTCTCCACAAGCGTCTAGAAAAACTTTTTTTATTGGTTGCTTTGAACATGTGGTTCATTTCAAGAAATCAGAAATATGGGTGTCATGTTGCATTCAAGCACTTCCTGGTCACAAAATGTTCACTGAATGCATAAATGTAATGCATAAAACATGCTCATAAAATTATGGCAAAAATGATTCATCATGAATCTGGTTTTATTTGGAAGTAAATAAAAAACAAAAACAATATAAAAAAAACACTTTTTTTTATTGAGTTTGAAGTCTGTGCTGTCCAAACCAATTGAAATGAGCACTCAGCATGCTGCCATTTTTGTCACATTAGCTCTTAAATGTGTCATGTTGATACCCACTCTGGAGTAGGCTTGGATCTAAGAGGGTTAATAATAATTATGTTAATATTGTTAGTAATAGTTTTATCATTTCTATCATCAGTTCTTTTTTTCACTATGATGCCAACATGTACAGTAATGTAAATCCAGACTGCGTGGTGCCACAGCTTCTACAAAGGATCACACAATCACGTGGATTCGACACTCCAGCTGGTAAACCTCCATGGAAAACCTCATGTACAATTGTGAGTGGCATCAGACAGGACTTAAAGCACTGTATCACAGCGCATACACACTGGTCCCAAAATACAACAGGGCAGTGAATTTAACAGCTCTTACTGTATATGAAGAGACAATGTGGGCCTTTAGAGACATTAGAACAACAGAAAGCTTTGATATAGAAGAAACTATGAAGTATCAATCTTCACTGAAACCAAAAAGGGCTGCCCCTAAGAATTACTGGAATTCCACTTGCAAGTGTGGAAACACTGTTTTTACGGCCTGACTTACTGAAGAAGCTGGACATTGGACACCATGGATGGACTAAGAAGATACCTGGCTAATGCTCCAAAAAAACAATAATCTGAGCTGTGCTTTAATATCCCAAAAGACAAAATTCAACTTCCACACACTTTGCAGAATGTAAATTTCTAAGAAATCTAAAGCCCCACATCATCCCTCAAAAGCTTACACTKACAGAATCAAAACTGGTTACCTGACATCAGAGAAGCAATTAGCAGCAATACAAACAGCGAGTTGATAGTTTGTTATCCAGCTCAGCTCTTACCTGAGTTCCTGCAGTCATCTCCTGGCTGAGGGACTTGGACTGAAAATGCCAGCAGGTCAGGAGCCAGTAAAGATTCAGGCTTGCGAATCTCATTAAGCCACCGACTCATGTGAAGTTCTTTAGTGTCAGATGGGCCCTGAATGAGGGGAACCAGTTTTTCCTTCACTCCTTCTCCTGACCCTAAAAGACAAATTGTATTTGTAAAATATCATCCCATGTAACCCCCAGTTTTTCATATTTATTTGTTTGAACTACTRTGAATGAATAYACTGTATGTTTTACAGTGTCAACAACAAATTTATTTACATAGCACATKAAAAAACAACAAAAGCTGACCAAAGTGCTTTACAGTTCAGATTTGTATCATTAAAACAGAMGCAGAAGCAGAAACGCACAATAAAACCRAAAATCATCAGCTCTGGTTGAAGCTCAAAATCTGACCGGAGACTGACTGGAGTGTTGATGTTAAGATCACATATGACGGGGCCAGACCATTAAAAACTTTAAAGTGATCTTGTTTTCCATATGAGGTGCTTTGATTTTTTTTTTTACTCTTGCATGAAGATGTTCAAGTCCTTGGTTCTGCTTAATCATAGTCCAAAAAAACTGACACTGCAACTCCTTTAAGCACAATGAGTCAAAGCAGTTTTATGTTTGTACAATTATATGAAAAACATAGTTGTGTTTTATTTAAAGAATTAAAGAGGAAACAAAATAATGCATGGCATAAGCAAATATCAAGTTAGTCAAATCCAATTGTTTTGGTTTTTCAAAACAAAAGTCAATAAAAACAGATCTTAGCTAAAATTGGAAAAACATCTGTGGAACAAAGGCAGGAATTTTAAGGGGGTGGGGGTATTTTCCAGGCATATACTGTAGTTCAATTCTATACTAGGGCTGCACGATATTGGAAAATCTTGCGATAGCAATAATATTGTACATATTGCAATGATGATATCAGTGTGATATGTCTTGTTTTTTCTTTCCTCCCTTTCTAATCTTTACTTAATATTCTGTGACATTTAGCATTTTTGGCAGTGCCGTGAAACTCTGTTCTACTGGCTAAATATTGTGTTAGCATGAAGAATACAACTTCTTAACTTTTCAAATACATTAGTTAACATTTATTGCACTCCAACCAGCCATTGCATTATGAATAGTGCACACACTGATATTGACTATATATTTAATATTTATACATATCAAAAAATAAACTTTGCATCATAGTCTAAACACTTTGAAATTGGCCTCTGTTTCTTTAAGAATCCACTACCGTTTCTGACATTCCCACTTCAGCCCCGTTTCAAACATTGCTTTGAGGGAGGGGTGCTCTGTGGGGCGGGAGCTCGGCTGCAGACTGAGCTCCAGGGAGGAGCTTTGTACCAATGGGCAGAGCTTTGTACCAGCAAGTGTTTAAGTAGCTCCACGTGGCCACCACAGGAGATTCAAGGAATTCAAACATGATGAATTAGTCCAAACAACACTCTGGATATGTTTTTTGACGAGGGAATGACATAATAACATGATATAAAGCTCAAAAAAGTAAGTTTTTTTTATTTGGTAAATAAAATAAAAAYAGTTCATCTGTTGTTCTTATCTTTGTGACTATGTAAAAGTAAAACAAAATACATTTTACATTACACTGACAAAAGTTGACTCTGGTAGATATTGATTTAGAATTACCRTATTTATTCATGCATAATACGATCTCATGTGTAATACGACCCCCACTTTTTTGAGCTTAAAAAGCATAAAAAATTGAATCCTCAAACTACCTCCAATTTCATACAGACTTCAAGATTTTTCAGTCTTTGCAGTCTTTATACATGTCAGTAAAATGATCATTGGACTGTTCATTTTATTTAACACCATATGTACTAAAATGTATTTTGRCAACAAATATGTATCAGCAAACTACGATTTTGAGCTTTCGTAGCAGCATCATATGAATTCTGGCATTTTACACATAGTCCACCAGGATGCACCAACACAAAAGAGACTTCACGTGAGATTTGGGCCATCTTCTGGGGGAAAAGCAGATTACTTCCTATTCGTGAGCACCCCCTCTGGTGGGGAAATTTTTTTCAGGGAAACAAACTTTTTCAGAACACCGGTAGATGGCCGCCATTACAGACGAACATGTGTTTGTTGTTGTTCCAGCAGCGGCTCGTCACACGCCAATGTCATTAGTTCGCTATCATTACTAAAGTGCAGGAATAACCCCCCCCTTTTTTTTTTCACATCATGTCGCCTGCCTGGTTCTGTTATTATCTCACTCTCAAGGACAGAGGAGCATCACAGGTAAGCTCCTTTCAACTGCTTTTTACAACGCGGTCTCATTTCCGGACTCGGGCATTTTGTGAATGAAGCCGATATGTCAGTTAAAATACATAAGTAAAARTATTTATCCGAGTATAGTACTACCCCCCAACTTTATGGATGATTTTATGGATTTAATTTTATGTATTATACTTGACTAAATAMGGTATGCAAATTAATTGTTTTTTGATCTTGTATTTTCTATAGTTTTATCTACTTTAGTTTCAGTCTAGCAGAGAATTGTGACCCTGTGAACTCCTTGCTATGACACTAGCTCAATAAAATATTTGCTATCAAAGATATCACCGCAGTCCAATGACAGCACCCAGAGGAAAAAAAACAGCAGCCGACTCAGATAACTGGAGAGAAACCAAGATTAACCATGAGCAGGAGAAACGGCGCGACAAAGACAGAGTGGAGTGTAGAAGTATGACTTCAAGTAAGTAAAGGAAGAGTCTAGTCTGTCTCACTCTTTCCCTCCTACACAGGCAGTAAAGTTTTAACAGGGCACAGCTGTACACACCTGGGGTCCTGGCGCACACTTTTACAGCTCCCACAGTTCCCGAGGCACATTTCACCATCGCACGGCTGCAGAACTTCAGCTCCAGGTTTTGGACCAAGCCTTCAAGAGTCGGTGACGAGCCTGGATATTTCACACCTTATAAAACAAAAGAGAGACAGAAAGAAAAGTGAATATGAACTGGATTCCGACAACTTTAAAACACCACCTCTGTGGCTCCGTTAAACACTTGATTAGACTTAAATTGGACTTGACCAACAAAGTGTTCTGAAACAAAATACAAACAAAACGGAGTAGGCATCTACACCTGCTGAGGCAGACTCACAAAAGGTTAGGAACATAACATAACTAGTGGCAAACCGGAATTGTATTGGTATTAGTAGTTTTCCTGATAGCAGTGCATTATAGAAGAATCTGGCTTCTATATTTTTATGACATGTGTGTGTATGTGTGTGATGAGGGATTGAGGGGTATGCATAAAATAACAATTTATTTGTGTGTTTTATGTTTGCAGACCATTTGAAGCACAAAAATGAGAAAGGAAAGCCAGCAGGCTCGCTGAAAAATATTATGGAGTAAAGGAAGTTCTTTGCCAAACAGCCTGTTGAGAGAAGAGAGGAAGATCCATCCATCACCTGACACATTCTTCCATTGAGCTAAAAGCTGGCCAAGAGAATGACACTGAATTCTTACATCATCTGTTCCAACAAGGCATTACTGTGTTTTGCAAAACTCTCTGTTCTTAAACACTGGTTCATTTCCGACACGTGCCCTTAACTTGTTTTTTCCCACAACATGGTTTACAATATGTGGATTATTATGTTTTTTTATCTCTCACATGCTTTCCATGTGGCAAAGATGAACGAAAAGCAGAACAAACAATAAAAATGCTTCTGATTAAAAAAAATCAAAAATTGACATCAATTTTATTTATTTATTTATTTATTTATTTATTTATTTTATGTTTTGGTCTCAAACAATGAGACAGGACTGTATTAGTAACATAAAGGTATGAAATGCTCCAAGAGGTTTTAAAATTTCAGAAAAGCTGTTTGGGAAACAATGGCCTTGTAAATTGTTTGCTGGTAAATACAAAACACGGCAATTCTAAAAAAATAAATAAAATAAAATAAAAAAATGCGCATCTGTGTGAATTAATTTCAAACTCTAGAATCTGCTTTTAAAATTACAATAGTCAGTAACTTGTAGTCTTYACAAGTAGAATCCTATAAAATGCCACTTAATACAAAAAAAGCCATCTGATCTGTACTTTATTTTATAAAACACATTAAATCACTCCTGTTCCAAGTTTGTGAAGTATGTGATAATGTTTTTTTCTAAACGTAGCTTTAAGTTGAGCATTTTACTTAAGGTGAAAATGTACCTCTGGTTAGAGGCTTGCCTCTTCATCAGTATAGCAGATCATTATTTATTGATTTTGGTCAAGCAGAATAATTTCCAAAATATATGCTCATCATTCTAGCATACACAGGAGGCAATGTTGAAGCACTCTGGATTGGCAAACAAAGAAGATAGAAAGAAATATGGTGGCACATTTAAGATTTTAAAATATCCTATGATAAAAGCTCTAAGTAAAAGATATGGTAAAAGCACCAGTGGCAATTTGACCATAAGGCTAGAATATCACTTTTCTAATTGCTCTGACTTCACATTAGATATTTAGTTTTCAGAACAGCAATTTTCAATACTTACTGTAAGTTTATATA